CTTCGCGTTTTTGGCTCGTTTGGGCTCGTCCGAACTCGGAATTGAGTTCCGCTTTTTTCTACGCGTCGCTAACGAAACCCTCTTTCTAATGGTGTCAGCTTTCCCAAAAAATTCTCAGAAACCTGTTCTCCCGAAGCTCCCGACCTACACACCAAAAACGAAAACACAAACGGAAGACTACCGAAAAAAACATAAGAATTACCGGGGCACCCAAGACAACACAAAACACACGATAAATGACAAAATGAACCTAAAACCAATCAAATGACTCGAAATAGGGGAAAAAGAATGAAAAAATGATAACAAAAAACATAACAAAAATGGGACAAACACTGACTTAACAAATTAAAAGTTAGATTAATAAATTAAAGAGCTCTTATCGAACACGAACTAACTTTTTTTTACGAAAAATGTAAACCCGCTAGTCATATAGCAAGAGCAAAAATATATTTCTTTTTTTTTAAGAATTTGATGGTTATCTCGTCAACGTAATTTTTAAAATATATAGTTTAAATTATAAATTTTAATATTTATAAATTTATTTTGTTGGTAGCCATGTAACAAGAGGATATATACATAGTTTGACTTTATTGGTATCCTATTCGTAATTGCATATCTACCTTATAGGATACTTGAAATAGTAAAAGAAAAAAATACATTATTTTTCAAAAATACACTTACTTTTCTTCATTCTTGGTTGATCTTCTACCAAAAAAGGTGTAGATAATTTCAATTATACTTATTACTATTATATTTTATCGTTAAATCTACACACAACTCTAATAAGTGTACGATCCAATAGAATAATAATCGGGTAGGATATCAATACTTCTATATACATAATATTATGTACAATCTACCATTATTACTTGAAAGAAAAAAGTGTAAAATATAGAAATTGAGGATAACATTTCGATACAATTTAAAAAATCGAAATATAAATAATACGCGTATACGAATTGAGGATAATATTGCGATACAAAACATGAATTACTACTCTTTTCATTTTCTAACTATCACATGAATGTATATTACTTTAATGTCTCTACCCGTTAGATTTGTCTAATAGCTTTTTTATTTGTATTTTATATTGTGAAGTCAGATTATACAAATTCAAAATAAAAGGGTTGTATCATATTATATTAACTGTTAATGAAATACTATTTAAAAATGGATGATTGTGTACTTGTATCATGTAGTATGAATAATAATTAATGAAATAGTATAGATAAGCTTTTTCTAAAGTAATGTTCGTTGTGCAATATTATTGGCCATGATATAATATATATGTATTATTTCCATTGCATATAGAGTTGGAAGAGTCATTGTTGACAATTCTTTTGGCATAGTGCTAATAATAGACTAGATCAAAATGACTCAATTAAATTTTAGTGCTTCTTCTATTAGTGAAGTTTCTAGAAAAAAATATATCAAACGACGCAACGCACCTTGAGTCGCTATGGAAACAACCTCTTTGTATAATTACAAAGGTGGTCAACTGACCCCTCAGACCCCAACTTATTGGGAATATACTGAATATGTTGATGTTGCTGATATAATATACTAGTGTTGATACCCGTGCGATGCACGGGGTATACTATAGATTAATATTTT